TGATTGCCACTCTCACTGACTCTAGAGTCACCTAGGAGACACAACTCTAGAAACACTTGTGATGGATTGCTTAGATTAAATTAGCTTCGTCATACCTATAAGGGGTTATTTTAAATAGTACAACTGATGAGTGAACACCTACCTTGAGGGAGGGTGGCCTTATTCCCTGGGCCTAGATCCTGGACTGCATGTAAGGAAAAACCTGGGCATTCATGGTTGCTCAGGCTCTGCCACCAGGAACCCCTGCTGTGATGGCCTCTATCACTGAACTGTGATCCAAAATGATTTTTCTCTCTTAAGTTGCTTTCTTCAGAGTATTTTATCACAGTAATGGGAAAAGTAACTAAGACAAGTGAGGAATTTATGACCAAAATGTTAAGGAGATAGAGCATCTCCTCAGAGCTTTATTTGAGAACCTTTGGCTGGAATGTATGTCATTCAAACACAGGAAGGAGGTTGTTAAAGGGGTCCAGAGGTTTGCAATCTCCATGGCCCCTTTATGTTCCTATGGAAAGTATAACAAAGCTATCAAGCTATTTAGATAATTTGGTTAGTTGCCTTCATATTATAGTCCTTACCTGGGCCACTTTTCTTTTTAATTTATACCTGGTGTCTAGAGTCATGATATAAATATAAATACATATGAAATAGAGTTGGATGATGTAATTCGAAGTGGAATGTTTGCTCAACAATAGTTTTTCATGTCTATGTGGCTCTACCGTTCCTCCTGTGACAACAATGTACATTTGTTTAAAGAAGTATACTGTTTTTCATACCCAGAAAAAAATCACCATATTTGCAATCTAATTCACAATTTAAAACATTTCACCATTAAACTGCCTCTCTCGCCCCTCTTGAATTGATGTGAATTCTGTGTTTTAAAAACCACTTACTGTGCGGTGGTGTGCTGAGGCTGCCTGGCAGTCTGAGAACCATTGATCAGAATGTGTTTAGATTTGACTGCTTTCCCAATTATGAATTGTAATTACACAGGATGTAAACACAAGTTTAAGTGGTTGTAAAACTGCTCCAATATTTGTTACACTATTAATTTAATAAACTGAATATTTAGCGGGGTCTTCATAATTATGCATCAGTGGACAGAAACGTTTTTCACAAACCTTGCCACATTAGATTGGAAACAACCCCCACACCCCCAACACCTTTCTAAAGGGAGACAAAAAGAGATGGAAAGTGATGACACTAATCTCTTTGCCTCTAGGTGTTTATCACACCAAGAAAGCCAAAACAATTACTCAGGGCTTCATGGGGTAAATAGCAGAATGCTATTTCCTTGGAGGATGCTTTCTTTCAGTGTTTCTCATAGGCAGAAGGAAGACAGTTTCTCAACAGGAGCAGCCCTCCTTAGGAGTGCAAATGCAAACAAACAAAAATGACATTATGTTGCCTGCCTGGGGACAAAAAAAGAATAAATCACCTATTCTTAACAGAACTTCAGGTGTGTGCTTTTCTGTTACTTTCTTTTATTCGATTAGGATGGCTGCCTTGTGTAACAGACAAGCTCTACCATGATACCATCAGCAAGGTATCAGAGTACATCTTTGTTATGTGATGTCTTTAAGGGACTTGACACACTCTTGTCATACGTGAATTTCCATTTCTGTTCAAGCAGAGGTAAGAAATGTAGTAATTATTTTTTACTCTTTCCAGTGAGGTTCTTTTTTTCAACATGGAATTTATAATTCTAATTAAATAATAGTTAAAATTACACCCCTGGAAAGAAATGGGGCTATGTTAAGAAAATGGGGGTTATTTTTACTTATGAGCCTCTGCAGTTTGCCTCAGCCAGCCTCGCTAAATCTTTAGTGCTAATATAATTGGGTTTTGTAGAATAATGACCCATTTTACCAGGTATCATTTTGAGTTAATAAAAACATTATCTAATTTTAAATGTTACTGCTTCATTTTAATTCATCAATCAATTAAAGGCAGCTTTTGGGTAATGGAAGCAGGCTGATGGAAGTAGGATTCCAGGAGTTACTAAAGGTTCAAGTGCTTTAAAACAACCCTTAAAATTATTTAAGTCTTCTTGTGGAATGATTTCAGAACTCCCTCTAAAAATTTAGTAAGGGCACTGTTTTTCTTCTGTAATAGACCTCAAGTAGCTGAGTATTAGTCGTTATTAACTTGTCTTTCACAGATATTATTTTCCCATTTCTAGTTCAGTGCAATAGTGTGACTTATGCAAGGGCTCAGAAGAAACATAATGAAGATGGTCGCTTGTGAGTCACACCACACCAGGTGTTGAGAAGAGCAGAAGTTCTCTGTGTTCCGGAGACTGGGGACAATTCAAAATATGGAAATTGGCATGCTTATTTTTTTCTGACATCATCTTATGTTTGCGTGCAGTTTATGCAAGGAGTTTGTTGGCATCCATTTTAGGTAACTGAAAGGGAAAAAAAGCTACTTATAATGTAAGAAAGTAAAAATATAGTTTAAATAAAAGCACTCTATATGGAAATACTCAGAACCTTCAGAACATTTGTGTAAAATGAGTGTTTGATGTTTTTTATAATCAACAGTGAGAGTCTGGAGAGGAGACTCAGTGGTTAGGAGCACTTCATGCTTGTGCAAAGGACCTGGGTTCAATTCCCAGCATCCACATGGCAACTCACAACTATCTCTAACTCTAGTTCTAGGGTATGCTACTCCTTCTACTCTTTCTCTTGACCTCTGGGACACCAGTTTGTGTGAGCACAGACATATGAGAGCAAAGCATTCATATACAAGAAACAAACAAATAACATTAATTATAATCCAGTGTTGATTTCCTGAGACAAAGAACTGTTCATAGTTACAGTTTTGTGTCAAAATCCTTGGAGTTTTTCTTATTTGCTTTTTATTTTTATATATAATAAAGGCTCCCATTGGGTTTCTTTTGAAAAGTCTTCCTTTATTAACCTGGTTACTCATGCTGTTCCAACTCATGACTAAGTGGATACCCTCTTTCTCAATAAAGGATGGGAGTCAAAGTGGTAAGGAAAAAACTCACTTTCAGATTTCTGAAGCTGAAATTTTAAATCATAGTGGATGTTAAAGACACATTGTTTCATCTGTTATGAAAATACCATGTAACTGTAAGCTCCCCAGTACCCTGTTCAATCCTATGAGCATACAAACTCTTAGATAGATATTTTCCCTAGAAATAAACAACAGGTGAAGTACAACATCATTTGAACTTAACATCCCACTTCAGAGTATAGGTTTTTTATATTCCCTTATTACTGGATTATTCGTGGTGGGGGGTGAGGGAGATGAAAATAAATACTTGGTTTGGGGGTTTATGTCTAAAGGTTTTAGACTCCAGTAAAGTCATAGGTTCAGGAAAGGGCAAATGGGACACACCAGGAATTACTCTATGTCTTCTTCCAACCCTGTGCTCAGGGGTGTGTATTGCCTTTGTGCTTCCTGGCTTCAGGAGCCTCACTGTCCTCTAGGGATATCTAATCAGACTGGGTAACTAGGCCAAATGTAGAGGAGGGTGAAAGTGGCCCTCAGGCTGGGTGGCAAGTCATTCTCTCTTGGTGGTAGGTAAGATATAATACTTAACTTGCTGTGAACATCAACCTTTTCTATGTAGCTGTCAGTTTGCCTCCCCCACCCCTTTTGAGTTTTATATACATCAGCAGTGGAAGGAATGATGTTCCTCCTTTGTAGGACAGTTGAGAGATGAACTAATGTCATAGTTGGCTAGCCCACCTTAAAGAACATTCTAGGAATGAAAGCAAAAGCTTAAACCTCAAATGTGGGAATGATTTAGTACACCCCATTTGCCTCAGCCCTGTCTCAGGACAGAATACTCCAACTTGGAAGAATTCTAGAAAGCAGCAGAAAAAATCCCGTAGGCTGACATTTCTTCAAAAGAATCGACTTCTTAAAGAACTCGAGAATCCAGATTAAAAAGAACATTTCATTTATATTTGTTATATACCTAAAAGTGAAGTTTTATTAAAAGTAGATCACATCACTCCAAGAAATTCAGAGAACTATATCTAAACACACTGAATGCGAGATATTCCTCATCGATTTAGATTCTTATAGCCTCATAAAGATAAAATGCAGATGAATTGATTGAAATCAGGCCTTCATTAAATTTCAGAATTAGCTTTTGGAATCCCTTGAATTGAATTGTGCAGCGTCTGACTCCTGATCATTGTGACAATGCTGTGAGTGCATAATGATAAAGTGCTCGTTGCCGGAAATAACACAGCCTGACTTTGGTTTGTGCTAATAAACTATAAGACAACTTAAACTCCATCTTAATATAAGAAATCCACCTCATTAGAAGTAATCTCACACTCTGTATGCTACCAGAATTTTCATGTGTATTCTTTGGTGAGCTGGAAATATAATTTTCTATTTATGCTTCTAATGTAAATCTGCCATTTCTGGTTGGCCACTCTGGCTCGAAGCCAAAGCGCTAATTTATTTCCATCTTTCCCTATTTCTTATATCAAAAGAGGTTGTTGGTTTGAATAACAAACATTCAATCGACTTGGACGTGGGATGGCAGGCAGAACAGGTATTACCTGCTTACCTTTTATTGCCTTCTTTGAATTGGCTTTTCTGGGAACAAAACCAATAAGACATGCTGTTCCTTCATCTAGTTTTGACTCGGGTTATTTATCAGAAGACATTTCCTCCCCCTTGGTTCAGCAGACTGGCAGTAGGGTGAAGAATTCAGCCTGGAACGAGACTTCTGACCTGATACTGTCATAGGTTATTGTCCCACCGAGTCACGTAGGACTTCATTGTCCTTAAGCTGCTGGCTTGGCCTCATAATTGTTTCTGATTCTAAGAGATGCTGCTGCTGTCACACTTGTCACCTGTGGGGTGGCAGTATGCTGGGATAGAATATACACGGTTCCAGCCCTTCCAAAACCTTGCAGTGTTTCTCCCCGGCCCAGCTCCCTTTGCTGTCTTATGCAGTAATTGGCCTAATAAAAGGCAGAAACAAGAATTTATTACACCTTGGGCAGTACTTGAAACAGACTTTATTCTTAGGAACAGCAGTTATGTCTACTTGCTGCTGTATATTTTGATATTTCATTTAAATACTTAGAATATATTCAAAGTCAAATTGCTAATCACTCAATTTCCCTGCTGCTGTCCTGGTTCCCCAGGTGGCCTCTTATGACACTCCATGTAAACACTGTATTTGGAAGGATACATAGATCAGCATCCCTAGAGTCACATGATCACCATAAATCTGTGAAAATAGCATGACTTAAAAATAAAAGTCTCTTAGTACTCTGCCAACAGGCTTTGGCATAATCTTGGCAATTGCTTAGATATTTCTTTCTGTTCTTGCAGTTATAATTTTTTTCCCAGGTGGAAAATAGTCTCATGTTTTGCAGACGTTGTCCAAGCTAGTGACCATCAATCCATCTTCCTGGGCTACTAAAGTCATGAGCTGACTGTGTTCGGTCCACACGAAATCAGTGAAGGGAGTGCAAAACTGTTGGATCGTTGCTCCTCTCATCTTAAGAAACGGCAATACAAATTCCTGATACCATTTATGCAGGAATTTTTATTCTCTAAATTTTCCAGTGTTAAAGCAACAAGAAAACATTTAGAATGTCCTTTGGTGGAATCTTATTACACTTGCTATATATGTAAACTGATATTCTTTGATGCCAGCACGCTCGTTGCCCATACAGAGAAATCTCTGCACAATGAAACAAAACAAAAACCAAAGAGGACAAAACTCAAATGTCAGTCTTTGCTGATTCGAATTAGATACATTAACAGATTGTCTGGTAACATAAAATTGGCAATAATACAAAAAATCTACATATTACAGTATTTCAAGAAAAATAACTTCATTTGAATACAAAAGGATAGATACACTTTCTCTTTCCTCTAACCACTCTTGTGAAGTGGGTGTGAACCGGCACTGGAGTCCCAGTGCTGCTAAATATACAGGGGTATGACTGGCTTGCGCTTTTGGAGGGGGTCTGTTACACGTGTGCATCACTAACATCAGACAAAGAAATCTTTCAACCAACAAGGGTTACAGAGCAACTTTCACTAAAGCACAGGTTGGAAGGGACTGGGGGAGGAGGGGAGCTGAAGCAGGCCAATATGGCAGCTTGTAACAGATTTCCTTATATCCACAATGCACCTGACAGCAAAGAATGCTTCTATTTGGTTGGTCCACACACTGGGCAGAGCGGTACTAGGGTGCACCACGGTAGAGTAGCGAATGTTTTTTTGTTTTTTGTTTTTTGTTTGTTTGATTTTTAAGGTTGTTTTCTCAGTTTGTTTTTTTTTCTTTCCTTTTGGGGGCGCTCTCACAACCTTTCCAATCGGCAATCGGCTCTGCAGCTGGCAATGAGATTTGCAATGATATTAGTAACAGCTGCCAATTCCTCTGGAGTCAGTGATGAACAGTCTTGACTCCGATGTGCTTTCTCGGTCTGAGAGATATGGCTTAGTTCAGTTAGGCCCTCTTCTTTTGTACGCTGTATTGGAGTGGGTGTGTGTGTTTTCTCTGTTAGTAGCAATCGCTTGGTTGTGTTTGCTTCCCCACAGCACAGGCCTGTAGGAGGGCTTCTGTGACCCCTAGAACACCAGGGGACTGGCAGTCCCCAGCAGCATGGTCAGCAGCAGCAGTGCGGGGGAGCCCCGCGGGGGTGCTCCCTGACCGGAGTCGGAGCCACAGCTGCCAGCCTCTTCGCACCGCAGCTTCTCACAGAGGATGCCAGTATAGGCAGCCGGGCACAGGCAGCGTACATTGTTGTGGCAGGTCCCTCCATTCTGGCAGTGCAGGAGCTCATTGTCGCAGACATTAGCTGCAGAACGAGGGGAGGGGTGGGGAGGGGAGAAGAAGCAGAATCAATTTAAGTTCATCTGGAACATCATGTTTTCAGCTTTAAAAAAGAAATTCTCTATCGATCTTGTGTTCCCCCCTTCCCTCCAGAAACTAAGCATGTGACTTCAATTTCCAAACAAATGTAGTTGGCTGCCTTTGTTTTGATTATATTAGGCTTTTTCTCTTTCTTTCTTTCTTTCTTTCCTTCCTTCCTTCCTTCCTTCCTTCCTTCCTTCCTTCCTTCTTTCTTTCTTTCTTTCTTTCTTTTCCTTTTTTTCTCCCTTACAATTTTGGTTATTATCCAGCTCAAGCTATCGAATCCTAAGTACTGCACTGCTCCTGATTTGGAAATTCTTATGTACCTGGGACCTGTTGTGACCTCCTAGTTTTTAAAGGATAAGTGCATGATACAAGATGCAGAACCTTGAAGTCAGATGAGTGGTCTTTAAAATGCAAAGCAGTGTTGCTGAAATGACCCACAACCTCTAAGGTTAGGACATTCATCGTCCCTGAACCAATTCCAGCCTTTTCGTGCATGCAGAGAGGCCACAGGGAAGCAGGGGAATGCAGGCTTGGGATGTGAAGAGTAGCATGCTCCAGGCAGGCGACAGCCAGATGGGAAGAGGGAGAGCTTGTTCCACGGGAGGCATGTGAGGAAGAGCAGTCACATTTGTCCCTGACAGCCCATTAGGGTTTTATTGCTTTGTAAATATGGGAAGTAGAGCCCAAGGTTACCTTGATTTGGGAACAGTAATAAATGCAACGGTGAAACCCTGATTACCAAAATTTCATTACATCCATCAAGGAATAGAAGCAGGCTGGAAAATCAGGCAGCAGCTCATGGCTAAAATTCATTCACAGCCTTTGTCACAGAACTTTCACCTCTAATAATTTCTCATATCTTCAAAATTCTGTTATCCTCATTAATTCAGTGTCTTGTATTCTCTTAGATAATCAAGGTTTCACTGATTTAGCAGAATGTTAAATAGAACCCAGGGAAATTAACACAGCAACAAAGAATAAGAGAGAGCCAAGAACGAATGCTTTCCAGCAAAGTATGCTACTTAAGCACTTAACACATAGACCACTCTGGACAGAGGGCGGGGCACAGAGCAGAAAAAGGAGCTTTTTATAAATTATAACAGATTTCATTCAAATAATATGTCATGGCCCAATTTCTCCAAAGATGTCATGTGGATTCACACCACACACACATCACACACACACACACACACACACACACACACACACACACACACACCAATGGTGCTATTAAATATGAAACAGTTTTACCAAATAATTCCCACCTTCCAGCTAGCATTTGCTTTGTTCATTAATCATACTCAGTACTCAAGTAGTCTTCAGAAGGGGCTTTGTCCACATATATGAACATATGAACGCTCTTATGTATGAATGGGTTGAGGAAATGTGGCACTGGGCATCTACAGAGCTAATAATAAAGTGCCCAAACAGGGTCCGGTGCAACTGCACTCCTCACTATTCCAGGGAGACATAGAACATGGGCACATGGTACATTGGTACAATTAGCACTAGTGAGTCATTCATGTTTGAAATGCCTATACACAGGGCAGTGTCACATGGGTTATAAGCACCAAACATACAAGCTACCTTTCAGCGGGTGGCTTAGACCAAACCCAAATTATGCTGTTTTGCCAGTCATTTTTTTTTTGATGTGTCAAGATCTGTACCTATGAAGCAAGGTTCCCAAGCACAGGGTGATTAGCTTCTTGGGTAAAGCAGATAAAAGTCTTTTTTTTTTTAAAGTCCATTTGGAAAGTATTTGGGGTTTCATTTCGCTTACAGTTCAAGAAATATCTGTCTAATTGGGGCAACATGGAATAAACAGATCCAAGTAACCATTTCCATTTAAAGTTAAAGATTCTGATCATTTCTTGTTGTAGGTAGCAGATTGCAGAATGGGATATTTCCTTCAATTTGGGCGCTAGACATAGGGAAATATCTGTTCCATCAATATCAATAATTGCTTGCCTTGAATAATTGAGAAGAAATCAATAGTTAATTAAATATCACTCCCCCCTTTTTTGCGAAGCTATTTTTCTTCCTCTTGGACTTGAATGTAAAGCAGCTGTTGAGCAGAGGTTTCTTTTTTCTGAGAAGCCAGTGATTAAGTTAAAATTCAATACCTCCCCCACATGTAAATAACCTGCTAGTTGATTTGGATGGTTGTGAGAAATTTAATAAATACACAAGGAACAGATGTAGCCTGGGATTAATCATCTCATGGACTTGGAGCATATATCTTGGGTAATATATAAACAGGAAAAAATGAAACCTAGCATACATTTCATTATTTTAGAATTCACTATAAAGCACGTTACATTTGGGGTCTTGATGGTGCTCATCCTATTAAAATTCAACAAGAACAGGATTTTACCGTGCATACAGTAGGCTGAAATCACATGCTAGAAATATATTTAAATCTAACTGCAGTTCTTACCTGATGCTTATAACCTCATGCTCCATCTTCATGTCATTTAGTACCAAAATTCTGTTGGTTAATGAACAAACTAGAAGGTTAAGTATCAATGAGCTCTTCTTCAGCATGTAAAACCTTGTACTAAACACCATGGAGACAATATAAACAAAAATAAAGTGTGGTCTCTGTTCTCATAGAGTTCTAATTTACTTAGGGAGACAAAATCCATTCTAGAAGTGATCTAGAGTTGATTTCATTAAGACATCCTTATTAGTTTCATCCGCCTCAGTCATTTGCCCCATGCCTGGCATCCTGCTATGTTTTGTGGTTATCACTCTAACTGCCATAAAGGAGTTCACAATTTGGTGGAAAATCAATGAACACAATCAGAGATATTCAGACAAAGTATGAAAAGACCACAAAGTAAGTATTTGCAAAGTGTTAGATGAACACAAATGATGGTGTCCATATTTTGGTGATTTGAAAAAAATATAGAAAAAGAGTTGTATTTGAACAAAGGTGCCCACAAGGCAGATACTGGTGAAAGAGCCCTGTAGATGTGTGAGTTAAAACAAAGAAATGTAACGGGACCGTGAGGGTTATTAAGAAGTTATCTCTGGACACTGATTCATCTCTCTGGTTTTGTAGTAAAAACATTACAAATTGTCTGCTGTCTTCCACCAACTATGGACCTCAGAGGGAACAGAGAAGGAAGGAGGGGTGTGTGAAGCTATTTCCCTCTTCCTACTTAATGGCTTGCCTTAACAGTACTGCCCAGCAATGGGTCTTATCTCAGTTTTCCCTTGCTCGTCTTTCTCAGAACTAGCTCCCCAATGAGCCTTGGAGATTCCTGCACCATCCTGGTAGCATATCTCCAAGGGACTACTACAGGTGTAGTCAAGCATCATCCCTTTCCAGAGATGTAGTTCTGAGGTATATGAAGTCTCTTATCCACACTATTAGCTTCTGGAAAGCCCATTTTCTTTGTTGTAATTTCTCAACCCCTGAGTGATAGCTACTACCTGCATGAGTAGTTACTGTCCAAGAGTTACTTTGGTGCCATGTTCCTATTTTTAATCTTGCAATACTTCTTATTCCATTTCCTTTAATAATGTTTCTCTGTTGAAATACCTGAAATAGTTTGCTTTTTGACAGGAAATTGACGAAGAGACACAAAGTTTATCTCAGTGAATGATGAGTAGGCTGTGCTTTGAAGGCTGGATGCATATAGGAGAAAGGAGACTAGAATGCTAGAAAATTCTGACTGTGTTTGTTTTATATATACACTGCAGAGTTTGGGGAATGGGCAATGGGAAGCTGACAAAGGTAAACGAGTCATCTGTAGTTTTCAAGGAAAAAGAAAGATAATGCTAGACAAAGATAGACGGGCGAAAAGGATATCAGACCCTCAATGGGCTAGGGCTAGTTTGGAGCAATGAGGAGGAGAAGAAAGGGGAAATCTGAAGTCAGTTTGTATAACAAGTATGAGTGATTTTAAGGTCACACTTGAGTATGTGAATAAGTTACAAAGAGAGTTAAGAACAGTACTAAGAAAGGTTAGATAAGTCAATGAATATTTTTTGACTTATTGACTTTGAGGAGTCTGTAATTCTTCTAGAATATTTTGTGATTAGTTGGGAAAACTACTTCAAGGTTTAGGGGGCAGTTTATTATGGAGATGTAGGTGTGGAAATCTCATTGTCGTCAAACACAAAGAACACACTCTCATGGTGGGAGAATATCAACCTGTCAAAATGAGGAATGTCAGAGTCTCAGCCATATGCAGAAAATGCAATGCCATGAAGAATGGTTGGATGAAAACTGTCAATAAAATGCAGTGGTCACATAACTGGAAAAATAAACATGAAAATACTATCTTGTTATGGATAGTATTTGACATGAAGTGGAAGAGTAGGACACCTTGGATTTGACAGAGCAAATGAATAACCTAAGTCTGGACTGACTGAATCAGTCAGAAAGTGTTTTGGGATGATGATAAAAAGCACTGGGAAAAATGGAGGAAATAATTGTTTATGGAAGTCCTTGAGCATCAATTGATAGGAGTAGGTCCCAATATTTTTGAGATTATGACTCCCAGAGGATATTATGTAGTGGCTAGAGTTTATTTATTTATCTTTGATTGTCACAACTGAGTAGGAATAGCATGCCATGGATGTATAGAGGCCTTGGATGGTGCTCAATATCCTATAATGGCTGGGATAGTTTACCTCTTCCACCAATAAGTAATTATTCTTCAATTAACGTAAAGGGTAAAATAATGATGTTCTGGGTTAGAGTACTGTCAGTTTGATGAAAGTAGACTGCTGTCCTTGATGTTCACTGGAAAAAGGTGCAGGAAGTGGGATTCTCCATTCTAAATCAAAATAACTTCAAGTTTTCAGATGCACAGCCATTGGAATTAAAGAAACTGCAAGTAGGTGGGTCAAAAACACTAGTGCAGATTGCCTTAAGAGCATCCACAAGTATCCTTGTCATGTGATTTGTTCTTTATTCCCATTGAA